CCGATCTCTGATTTCAGAGGTATTTATTCTCCTGTGTACCAGTTCTGTAGACAAATGTAAAGATGTAAAAATGTGTCAGGGGTGCAGATGGATCAGGGAGGAGAGAATTATTTTAGTTTATATGTTTTTGTGGGTTTTTTTTTCCAACTCGCATCTATTTAAAATTAAAAGGAATGTAGAGAAGTAACCTGAATTACAATAGTAGAAATAAGATGAGTTTCTCATATTTAAATGTCCTTTTATAATAACAAAACTTTGAAAAATACATTGTACAGTTTTTATGGGGACTTTCCTTAAAGTTCATGTTTTCCTTTTAATAAATGATTCCTATCTTCAGCTTTCAGGGTCACAGAATATAAAATCTGGTTTTTTTATCTCACTTGTATGCAAATTGTCAACCTTGTCAAGTGTTCTGTGCCAGTACCCACCTGTTGCTCTGGTCTTTTCTGTATCATCTAACAACTAATTTGTTGATTCTTTTGGTTGTAAATTTCTAAGGTAGCAGTACAGAATCCTGAGATGAGCATTGACTTTGATGTTTCAGTCAACTCAGAATCCTGACTCTAGCGCGTATTTGCTGGGAGTTGTTGAACAAATTTCTTTTCTTTTCTTTCTTTTTTTGAGTCAGGGTCATATTCCATCACCCATCCTGGAGTGCAGTGGCACTGGAGCCTTGATCTCCTGGACTGAAGTAATTCTTCTGCCTCAGCCTCTTGAGTAGTGAGGACTACAGAGCCATGCCATCCTACCTGGCGAATTTTTGGGTTTTTTGTAGAGATGAGGTCTTGCTCATCTTTTGGATTTTTTGTAGAGATGAGTTCTCCCAGTCTGGTCTCGAACTCCTGGACTCAAGCAGTCTTCCTGCCTCAGCCTCCCAAAGTGCTGGGATTACAGGTGTGAACCCCTGTGCCTGACAGGACAAGTTTCTTAACCTGTCTTGGTCTTTCTTCTTTGTAAATTGGAGGTGGTCATATTCACCTGATAGAGTTTTGAAAATTAAATTAGATAAGGTCATAAATGTGAGGCATCTGACTGCTTCAGACACAGTAGGCACTCCATAACTGTTATTTTCTTGCTTCCCCTAGTCCTTGTTTACCTGAGTGTAGAGCTTATTGACTCACTTGCTGTTTGCATATTTCTACCCCATATGTAATTCTGGTAGAGAGGTGGCTATGTAAAGTTTTTTGGGTAATGTCTTGATACTGCCCTACTAGGATCCTTTGGCTGTTCTTTCTGCCTACAGAATTAAGCTTGTACTAGGCCTCTTTCTGTCTGGTCTCATTTACGTTTTTCGTGATACATCGCTGGTGTGACACCTGCCGTCACTTGGGAGTTCTCAAACTTTAATGTGGTGTCTGGCGTATTGTTATCTACTGCTGTCTGACAGATTCCTCCAAAACTAGCAACTTAAAGTAAAAAAAAAAAAAAATTCCTGTGAGTCAGGAATTTGGGAGTGACTTAACTGGGTGGTTCTGATTCAGGCTGTCTCTGGAGCTTTTGGTTGGATGTCAGCCACAACTGGGTCATTCAAAGACTTGACTGGGGCTGGCAGGTCTGCTTTCCAGAGGGCGCTTTCACACGGCTGCTGTCAAGACTGCAGTTCCTTGCCAGTGTGGGCATGCAGCCTTCCTGCCTTGCTGTGTGGGCCTGTTCGCAGGACGCTCAAGTGGGTGACCTGTGAGAGCACAGGAGGAACTGGTGGTGGCTGAGACCTGGTCAGTCTCTGACGTTCCCACTGTTGCTTCTGCCATTTTATGTCAGCTGGAAGCATGTCACTTAAGGCTGTCCCACATTCGAAGGAAGGAACGTGAAGTTCTGCCTTTTGAGGGTAGGAATTTGTGGACATTCTGAAACCACCACACCTGAGGTGCGTACTGGAAAGTAAGATTCTCAAGCCCGGATTGAGATCTAGTGATAGAAAGGCCCGAGAATCTGCAGTTTGCACAAACACTCCAATGGTTTTGATGTTGGAAGCCTGAAGTCCACACTGCTCTGCCAGGTTTGGTCATTAGGTCTTCTATAAGTACACTAGTTGGTTGCAGAGCACGCACACCTCATTTTCAAATACAGACACGCTTTTCTGAATCCTATAGAAGCCCAGTACCTCCGTGGTACCTACTACCCTAGACAGAAGTGAGCTCTCCCTTCCTGGAATTTCTGTAAATTCCATATTTTTCCTGTCCTTTGGCCCTAATTTACTTTGCTTCGATTCTTCTGTCCTGTTAGTAGGAATTAATAAATGACTGCCTTCTGTTGACCTGCTCTCTTACCATAACTATGACAGTTCTGTAACAAAGCACTGTGCTGCTCAGAATTGAAAAGCTGTGTGTGGTCATTAGAATGCTAAGTAGGCTGGCTCAAACTTCGCTTCTTGGTAGTTCGTGCTTTCCTATAGGGATTTATTCAACAGAAGCTTTCCTGTTGTGTGCCAGTTTGGTTTAAGATAGACAATGCTGTAAAGAGACAGGCGTGCTCCTTGTGATGGATGATAAGGGGATCATAAACAGATACACAAAACTATATCTTTACAACTAGAAGGACATTCCAGGGAAGACATGAACAGTTAGTTGGCTACGATGTTAGGAGACCAACTTTGATACATTTTCAGAGTATCTGCTTGAGACTTGAAGAATGAAAAAGAAAAGGATTAAAAGAAATTACTACGTTATAGTAACTGAAAGGAGTTGGGGTGATGAGCTGACATTGGAGAGTTGTGCAGGGAGGGGCTCTGTGGTGCAGGGCTGCTGTATCTGTGGTCAGGGTTTCATACTCAGTACGGCACCCTGAGCGGTATTGGTATGGTATCATCCAACTGAAGGCTTTCTAATTTAGCAGTTGTGGAGTAATTGGGTGATTTGAATGACAGTTACCAAGTCAACTAGAATAGATTGGGAGGCAGGATTTCTGTTAGTTCTACAGAAGGAAGCTAAAAAAGAACTCAAGTGTGAATGCTTGTCAGGGTTGTGGGTGGCTGTCTTCTGTCTCTGAATACAAAATGTGGGAATGGCCACAATAGCAACAGGAGGTGTTTATGTCGGAGATAACAGTGCTCCTGCCTTTCAAAATGAGCTAGGCAGGAAAGTTTATCTGATTCCATGTGTTTAAGTTCTGAGCTTAAGCTAAGGTTGTATGTCAAATCCTTCTACATCCGTCTTTCCGTAGCTGCTGATTCAATGATAGACACAATGGACAAGAATAAGTGCAACAAGAGTCCTGTGATTTTCACCAACTTTCTTTCCACATACCAGCTGCTCCACCTCTTCCAAGGCTTTCCCAACCCTTGCCTTCTGTAGGTTGTATCGCGGGTATTGAGAGACCGGGTTCCAGCCACATTCCCCACAAAAGGATAGCAGGACTTTGGAAGATCTTTGTATTTTTCTGATTTCCTCTTGCCCACGAGAATTAAATAAGATAGCTTCAAAAATGCTGCCTGGTGTGGAGGCACACACTTGTAGTTCCAGCTACTCAGGAGGCTGAGGTGGGAGGATCGTTTGAGGCCAGGAATTCTAGGCAACAGTGAGCTGTGATCATATCATTGCACTCCAGTCTGGGCAACAGAGTGAGAACTTTTTTCTAAATAAATAAATAAATAAATGATAGAAATGGGTAAGTAACTAGCAATATAATCCAATCTTGCTCATGCCTGAAATCCAAGCATTTTGGGAGGCTCAGGTGAGAGAACTGCCTGAGCCCAGGAATTCGAGACCAGCCTGGCAACATGGCAAAACCTGGTCTCTACAATAATTCAAAAAATTAACTGGGTGTGGTGGCACGTACTTGTAGTTGCAGCTACTCAGGAGGCTGAGGCGGAAGGATCGCCTGAACCCAGCAGGTTGAGGTTGTAGTAGCCATGATTGTGCCACTGTACTCCAGTCTGGTCATCAGAATGAGACCCTGACTCAAATAAATAAACAATAAATAAAATCTTGTAGTTGTCAGAGTGAGACTCCGACTAAAATACATATATACATGCATACATATATACGTATACACACATGTAAATTGTTGTAGTTTTTTCTGGATCATATTAACCTAGGCCATAATGATACAGCCCTTCTCTGAATTCATTTATCCAACAGAAATTTAATATTTTTCTTTATTCTGTGGTTTGGCTTGGCAGCAGCTCTGCTCGTCTTGACTGGGTGGTTTTTCTTAGGTCTCACCTCGGTTCACTTGCATGATTGAATTCATTTAGTGGATTAGGAGGGGGCAAACACAATTAGGACAGTCTCTCTATGTACTACCCTTCATCTTCAGAGAAGCCAGATCAAATTCTTCACAGTGTGCCAGGTGGGCAAGCCTGATGCCCAAGTGTTTTTCCAGCCTCTGCTTGCTTCAAATTTGCTCTTGTCCCACCGAACAAACCAAGTCTCATGGTCAAGGATAAAGTCAGTATGAAAGGGGCACACACTTACAACAGCATGGACAATGTAAGGCATGACTCATTAGAATCACTCATGTAACAGTCTACCACAGCCTCCATGCTAAATTACCTATCTTCTGTAATGAAAAGTCCCAAGTGCTTTTGTTCAAAATCTTCTTATAGAATTATATGGAATTATCAGTCTAGTATGCTGTTGATGTAGTTCATTGGGAGGACCATACAAGTTTTGATTCACAGAATTGGGACCCCTGAGGAGACACTGAGTCAGAGTAAGTCTAATCATAAAAATTATACTTGACTGAGTCTGATCTTATGTTTGAAGGTAGCAAAATGAAATTCAGAGTGCTTCCCCCTTTGAGACGTCTGCTGTTTTCCAAAAATGGAAGCATTTGTGAATAGCATTTGGTAATAGTTTATAAAACTACATCAGTTATTCTGGACTTCCATATTAGTCTTAGATATGGAATAATAAATATTAGCAGTGAATCTGCTATGTAAGAGAAAATTTAAGTGTATATTGTAACAGTAGAATATAAGCTTATATTATAATGTTTATGTTATAATGTAATAACTTGTGGGCATTGTGTGTCTTCCTTTTTTTTTTTTTTTTTTTTAGCTGTTCAGAGAAGTCAGAATAATGAAGGTTTTAAATCATCCAAACATAGGTACTGTCTACTTTTTTTTTTTTTTTTTAATACTTTGGGGTCTAAATGCTTTCTTGGAAGTATGTTGTAAAGCTAAACATGTATTGAAGAAGGGATAAGAAGAGACTCCTGTCCCCCAACCCAGGTATACTTTTAATGCAATATATATACAAGTTGTTGATTGTTTGTATTGGCTTTTTGAAGTGACTGAAGACAGATTAAAAGCTTAGGTGTTGAACATTTGAATGTAGCCAAGCGCAGTGGCTCACACCTGCAATCCCAGCACTTTGGGAGGTGAAGGCGAGAGGACTGCCTAGCCCAAGGGACCTTGGGTTCAAGAGCAGCCTGGGCAGCTTGTCAAGACCTCATCTCTACAATAAATTAAAAAATTAGCCAGGTGTAGTGGCCTGTGCCTGTTTTTCCAGCTACTTGGAAGGCTGAGGTAGACCTTGCCTGAGCCCAGCAGGTCAAGGCTGCGGTGGCCATGCCACTGCACCTCAACCTGGGTGACAGAGTGAGACTCCAACTCAAAAAAAAAAAAAAATTGAATTTAAAGTTTTAATGTGGCAGAAATATCTGTAATTGGATTATAATTTTTAAATGTTTAAATATATAGAAAATATACTTTTTGCTGTTACTGTGTTCTTAAGAACATTCTTGTATGCTGAGTCATATTTAAAGATGGGATAGCCGGGCTCGGTGGCTCAGCCTGTAATCCCGCGCCTTTGGGAGGCTGAGGTGAGTGGATTGCCTGAGCCCGCTGGTTCGAGACTGGCCTGGGCAGTGAGACCTCATCTCTACAATAAATCAAAAAATCAGCCGGGCGTGGTAGCGTGCGCCTGTAATTCTGGCTACTTGGAAAGCTGAGGAGAAAGGATCGCCGGAGCCCAGCAGGTGGAGGCTGCGGTGGCCGGGAGCGGCCACTGCACTCCAGTCTGGGCGACAGAGTGAGACTCCAACTCAAAAAAAAAAAAAAAAAAAAAAAAGATGGGATATTTGCTGTCTATTGGAATTTTGATAGGAATTCTTGTTATAAAGCAAAGGTTTGTTTTATGTGCCCTCTCTATACACAACTCTGTGCTGGGTCCTATGAGGTTGATTTAAAGATGAGGAAGGAATGTCTTACAGTAATTGCAGGAATAAGATGAAAATGTGTAAATTACTTAATACTATCCCTGCATGTATATTTAATTATTTAAATGAAACCTTTTGGTCACACATATATTTTAATAGGACTCTTAAAATTATATAACTGCTTTTTTATACAGTGATAGCTCCTACAATGTAAAAATACTATTTTAATAGTTAAATCGCTCTTAAGACACCCCATATCAGTCTGTTCTCAACATCAGTTGTAAGAAATGTGTTCAGGATAACCTATCCGTAAGAACACTTCAGGCACAAGAGTAGAAGAGCAACATGGAGTCATAAGAAGAGAAAAGCTTTTACACAGAACTTGTTTTATTATATACTTTAACAAAAGACTTGTGCCCTATTTCATCAAATCTTAGCCACCATCATTTTAGAGGCATTATTGTATTATATAGTATGAAGATAAATGCCAAGCCATCATCCTGATATCAGGGCTATTAATTAAAATGAAAAAATAAACATCTTAGATTCAATGAAATAGAGTATGCTCAAAGAAAAGAAAAATCACAAGGAATATAATAATGGGAAGAAAATCTTTGATCACTTTTAATTTAAAGCCTTTGAAGGTAGCAGCCAGTCAATTCTGGATTTCAAATACCAAGTTTTCACCATATAGTAAAAGAAAACTTTATCACTACTGCCTAGAACTAGCTAACTTTTAAATGTAATTATTTTGTCTTTTAATTACCGAAGTTGTGCCCTAATTAGAAGTTCTCTACTTAACAATCACATATCTTTGACAATAAATGGAAATTGTTTAAAAATTCGTATTACATTAAAATAGTTTTCCCAGGCTGGGCACAGTGGCTTACACCTGTAATCCCAGCACTTCAGGAGACTGAGTTGAGAAGAACCCTTGAGCCTGGGAGTTCAAGACCAGCCTAGGCAACATAGTAAGACCTCGTCTCTACAAAAAGCAAAAAACCACTCTGGTGTGATAGTGCATGCCTGTAGTCCCAGCTACTTGGGAGTCTGAGGTGGGAAGATCACCTGAGCCCAGGAGCTTAAGGCTGTGGTTAACCGTGATCATGCTACTGCATTTCAGACTGCACAACAGAGTAGGACTCCAACTCAAAAAGTTAAAATAATTCTCTCAGAAGAACCAAAATTTGCATTGGACTGTTAGAACATTTATTTACTACTATGTTAGGCACTCTGCTTCTGTTTAGCCCAATCTATTAAAGCATCAGAGTATCACCTGCAGTATCAAACACTAGCCAGCCCTCCTTCCCTTTTTGGGTAAATTGAATTTTAAAATAAAAATTAACAAACTAGTATTAGATAGACACAGTGGTGACTGGATAGCTTTAGAGATTTACTTCAATTTCACTGAAAAATGTAAGTCTACTTGCTATGTTGTAGTTTTATGAATCAGCAGCAATAGAAATATTTGTGTTCATAATGAGAGACCGCTGTGTAGCAAAATCACACTGACCCCCTAAAAATCTTTTTTTTTTTTTTTTTTGGGTTGGAGTCTCACTCTGTCACCCAGACTGGAGTGCAATGGCCGCTCCCGGCCACCGCAGCCTCTACCTGCAGGGCTCCGGCAATCCTTCCACCTCAGCCTTCCAAGTAGCTGGAACTACAGGCACGCTACCAGGCCTGGCTAATTTTTGATTTGTTGTAGAGGATGAGGTCTCATCAAGTTGCCCAGGTGGGTCTCGAACCCGCGGGCTCAGGCAATCCACTCACCTCGGCCTCCCAAAGTGCTGGGATTACAGGCTGAGCCACTGAGCCTGGCCAAAATCTTTTTTTTAAAACAGTTTTTTTCAATTAATTGCAGTACAATCTTTTCTACTTTTTTCCATCTCTGGCTTCAGACTAGTAAGAAGAAACCTTGTCCTTTGAGAGTTGTGATAGGTTTCCTAAGCAACAAAGTTCTCAAGTGGAATCATGAAGCCATAATGACAAGTGAATGTTCTTGCGCTTGTAAGGGCAGAGTAGATCTGAGCCATCGCTGCAGGTTGGACTTCTTTTCCTGAGATGCTGGGGGAGGGGGGCACATAACCAGCTCAGACACAAGGAAGCAGTGACAGCAGGAGATGTGAGCTCAGATATACTCTGCTGGACTGCTGTGTATCCTGAAGTCACACTCAACACCCTGGATGATCTTTATTTTTATGGAATTCTATGCTGTTGTGAAAACTTTTCTGTTGTTGTAATATTTGATAAAGTTCCCCCAAGAGCATTTTTTAGAGGGCCAGCTATTAAAATCTTTAACAGGGAAAAGGTTGCTTTCCCTAGTTAAAATTGATATGTGTATGATTTGTGCATATGGACATTTGTTTCTTTTTCTCGTATCCTCTTCCTTTCCTCAGTGAAGTTATTTGAAGTCATTGAAACCGAAAAAACACTATATCTGATCATGGAATACGCAAGCGGCGGTAAGAACGTTTATATATATTGAGCTTTTTCTCTTTCTTCCTTTTTAAAAGAATACATAACCACACTGCCCATATGGATAATTGTTAAGGTTTCATTTAACATTCATGGTCATAAGACACTAGAATGAGAATTAGAAAAGCTGACTTTCAGCAGTTTTCTTGGTTGCTATTAAGTGCTTCATTGTTAGCATTGCTAAGTGATAATATCTAAGTACTTGAATTTTTTTTATTGTGGTAAGATATATATCACTAAGAATTACTGTTTTAATGGTTTTCAGGTGTACAGTTCTGTGGCATAAGTATGTCACATTGTTGTTCAGCCCTCACCACCACCCATCTCCAGAACATTTTCCATCTTACCATGTGAAACTCTGTACCCAGTAAACACTAACTCATTTCTCCCTGCCCCAGCTCCTGGCAACCACTTTTCTACTTTCTGTCTCTTTTAATTTGACTCTTCCAGGTACCTCACAGAAGTGGAATTTTCATTCTTTGCTCTTTGAAGTCTGACTTTTTTCACTCAAGGTTCATTCATGTTGTAGCAGGTGCCAGGATTTCCTTCCTTTTTAAGGCTGAATAATATTATATTCTGTGTGTTTTTATGCATACACGTTTTGTTTATCCCAAGTGTTTGGCGTTTTAATTGTATTAATGTATTAGTCTGTTTGAAATAAATGTATATTGCAGTTTGGATGCTTTTCTTTATCAGATATAATGTGTCATTGGTGTCCTTTTTCCCCAAGACCAGAAGTGATAGTTGATAGTACATAAGACTAGATTTTCCCTAAAATAAAGATTAAGGACTAGTAATTATTTGCATTTTGCTCCTCTAATAAAGAGCCTTACAGGTTATTGGTTCTGCTGCTTAATCTGAGTGTTATTACATTTTTAATAAGGGAAAAAAGAAAGATCTGGGTTGAATTACTAGTAGTTCAACCCAGACCTTTTTTTTTCCCCATTAAAAAGAATGATAACTTACAATTATAAAACTGAATTATAACTTAGTATTATGAATAAAACATATGGTTCCAGAAATCTCTCCAGAGGTTTGCATTTGAATAAAAAAAAAAAATCTTAAAATGATATTGACAGACTTGAATTTTATCCTCTACAACAGCTAGCGGGCTTAATTCATTTTTTTAAGTCAAAACTTTTCTGTATGATATGCACACATCTTCAGTTGTTTTCACTTAGTAACCACTTGTTTTGACATCGTCTACTTCTCTGCAAATAGAGAAAGGTCATTTGCTTAGAAAATGCTGATATTTTACTGAGCTGGCATTTAACTTCATAATTCATTATAATAACTTCATAATTCATCATCATGAATTGTGTAGTGTAAATTTGACAGTATGTAATGCCTTTTCAAAGATCATTATGAAGTCAAGTGATAGCATGCAAATATTTATGCCCATTCATTATTTAAAATGTATTCAGAGTTAAGGTTTTGAGTTTAAAAGTCCGAGATATTAATGTATAATTCATAATAACTTTTAAGTATCAAAACACTTTCGTTGAATGTTGTCATTAAATTGATGGCAGTTATCCTTATTTGTATGAGTAGACATATTCCTATTCCAAAATAACTTTATATTTAATCTTTTAAATTAGTGTTCTTTTCTGTTGATTTCAGAGTGGTGTTTCTTTATTCTAAGTTGATAAGCGGTTGATAGTACTAATAATACATTTCCTGAAGTGTAACCTTCTCTTCCCCAATAAATTAATATTGTGTAAACTGCCACCTAGCTGTCATCACCGAGTTCTCTTAGTGTTACCTTCACTGTGTCCTGAGCCCCTACTTCTCACCACCTCTATGCTTCCCACTCCTGTCGCAGTCACTGTCATGCTTTGGTTTGATAGTTGTGCTAGTCTCCTAGTTGGTCTCCCTGTCTCTTCCACTCATAACCCCTTTCCCACTCTAACAGTCATTTCATCTCCTCTACTTCTCATTTCACTTAGAGTAAAGCCTTACCAAGGTCTGTGGGACTCTCTGGGCCTCACTACCTCTCATCTCCTTTCCCTGGCCTTTCCAGCCTGCAGGCTTCTTGCTGCTTCTCTTACTTGTTTAGACTCTTAACCCAGATAACCACGTTGTCCACTCTCTCAAGTAGTCAACACACTCAGTCTGCCAATTTCCTTCCACTGCTGTTTTTCCACAGCACATATTATCCTCTGACATACCATATATTTATTTATTTGTGTATTGTCCATCTCCTACTAGGAAGTAAATTCCATGAGGAAAGGGACTTTGCTTTGTTCGCTACTGTGTTTCCCCAGAGTCTAAAACAATGCCTAGCAGATAGTAGGCACTCAATCACTATTTGATGAGTGAATGGATATACTCAGGAAATACTTTGTTGTCATCCTGCAGTGAAGATATCTTCCTTTAACACAGCTTCATTCATTTTAACTTGCAATTTTCATTGCTCAGCTTTTATTAAAACATACTGAAAACACGTGCCCTTTAAAATCAGAGAATTTAATCTTAGTAATTTTTTCTAGCTTAAAGATTTTATTGGTGAACTTAGCTGCCTTAACGCCAGCTTAGACACATTCCACATATTTCTAGCTACCTTCGTACCTATATTAAAAAGTAGAGCATTGCTAAAATAAAACATTATCAATTTGTGGAAAAATTAATGCCCAGAAGTAGAACTTTTACTTTTATTTCTCCCAATTATAGGTGAAGTATTTGACTATTTGGTTGCACATGGAAGAATGAAAGAAAAAGAAGCAAGAGCTAAATTTAGACAGGTATGAATTAATGGATCTTTAGTTTGTTAATTTATTAAAGTTATCTCACTTAAACCCTGAAGCAAACTAGTGTTTTCTTCCATAAATGTTTATAAGGTCTATTGTGTGGCAGGTGTTGGCCATTTAGCTCAACAAAAATTTGCTAAGTTCCTTTCATACCTAAGACATTGTGCTGCAGATGACCTTGGGTTCTCTTCTTAGCTTTGTCCTCTCTCCCCCGCTTAGCTTTGTAATTGGGGCATTAGTTTGACTCCTAACCTTTGCTTTTGACAATTGAGCCTTCAAAATCTAGACCCTGGCCTGCAATGGTGGTTGAAGCCTGTATTCCCAGCACTTGGGAGGCAGAGGAGAGAGGATTGCCAGAGCTCAGGAGTTTGTGAACAGCCTGGGAAACTTGGTGAGACCTCGTCTCTACAATATATCAATAAATTAGCTGGGTGTATTACACTTGCCTGTACTTCCAAGCTATTTGGAATGCTGATGTGGAAAGATGGCCTGAGCCCAGCAGGTCGACCTTTGGGTGACCGTGGCTTGCCACTGCATTCCAGCCTGGGTGATCGAGTGAGTCTCTGACTAAAAAAAAAAAATCTAGACCCTTCAGGCACAGTGGCTCACACCTGTAACCCCAACACTTGAAGTTGAGGATTGCTTGAGCCCAGGAGTTTTGAGTCCAGCCTAAGCAACTTTGCAAGACCTCACCTCTACAAAAAATTATCTTGGTGTCGTAGTGCACGCCTGTAGTCCCAGGCGGAGGTAGAAGGCCACTTGATCCCAGGAGCTGCAGTGATCTATAATTGTGCCACTGCACTCTAGCCTGCATGGCCCAGTGAAACCCGACTCAAAAAAAAAAAAAAATCTAGACCTTTCAGAAACACAACTATTAGCCATTAATTAAAACCTTTTCAGAGATTTTAGCAAGAAGATTGTCACAACCTCAAAATTCATTATTAGTTTTGTCTTACATAAACCAAGACCAAATATAACTTAATCTGTTAGTGACTTTTCTTCTTGCTTCGTCTTTACCTTGCTGTTGAAAGAAACATGAGTTTTAATAAGCACACTTTAAGCATAAAGGTGACTGAACTCTCCTGTCTTTGTGAATAATAACTACTGTCATTGATTGACCATGCCAGACACCGGGATAAGTGTTTTTTTTTTTTTGAGTTGGAGTCTCACTCTGTCGCCCAGACTAGAGTACAGTGGCCACTCCCGGCCACCACGACCTCGAACTGCTGGGTTCCGGCGATCATTCCGCCTCAGCTTTCCAAGTAGCTGGAACTACAAGTGCATGCTACCACGCCCAGCTAATTTTTTTATTTATAGTAGAGATGAGGTCTCGCCAAGTTGCCCAGGTGGGTCTCGAACCCGCGGGCTCAGGCAATTCACTCACCTCAGCCTTCCAAAGGCGCTGGATTACAGGCTGAGCCACCGAGCCTGGCTGGGGATGTGTTTTACCTACATTAATGTAAATCTGCAGCAGCCTTATAAGTCAAAGGGTATTATGCCCATTTGCTAAAAGTAAGACAATTGAGGCATGGGAAGATTAAGTCACTTGCTCAAAATTGCCTACTAGGAGCAGACCTTTATGGACTTGGAGACTGAAGCCTTCTGACCCCAAAACTCAAATTTGTAATCATGAGGTTGTGTCATTAAAAAAAAAAAGCAGGATCTCCTTTTGTTGCCCAGGCTGGAGTGCAGTGATACAGTCATAGCTCACTATAACCCTTGAATTCCAAGACTCAGGCAGTCCTCCCGCCTCAGCTTCCCAAAGTGCTGTTGTGTTATTATTTAGATGAGGAATCAGCAAACTTGATTTAAAGGGCCAGATAGTGAACATTTATTTTTGTCTTTGTGGTGTGGGCCCGGTGTCTCTGTTGCCCACTAAGGATTTAACTCTCCTGTTAAGCCAACTGTAGATAATACCAAATGATGGATGTGACCATATTCCAATACATCTCAATTGACAAAAGCAGAGATGAACCAGATGGAGTCCATAGGCCATCACTTGCTAACCCCTGATTTAGATGAAGGAAAGGAACATGTGCTTTACTGCTTTTTAATTAACTATATTTTCACAAGGTCTACATTGAAATAGCGGTATGGCCTAATTTCTCTCAGAAACTTAAAATTTTGTTTTACTTATATATAAGGTTGTCAGAATAGATGGGAGACTTTTTATTTTTAATTTTTATTTTTTTTCTGAGTTGGAGTTTCATTCCGTTGCTCAGGCTGCAGTGGCATGCACATAGCAGCCCCAGCATTGACCTGCTGGGCTCTGTCGATCCTTCCACCTCTGCCTTTCAAGCAGCCAGAACTACAGGTGCGCACTACCACACCAGGCTAATTTTTGTTTTATTGTAGAGACTAGGTCTCTCCAAGTTGCCCGGGCTGTTCTTGAACCTGTGGGCTCAGGCAGTTCACCCTCCCAAACTGCTGGGAAGGTATGAGCCACCGTGCTTGGCTTCCAAATGTGAAACTTTTAGAATCTAATAAAACATTTTTTATTAGGAAAAAAGTCTGTTTAGTTCTTTCTATAACTGTACTATTACTTTTTATAAATTGACTGCCTAAAAACTAGGACTTTTTAAAAAAAGTGACAGAGTCTTGCTGTGTCGCCCAAGCTTAAGTGTGGTGGCACAATCATAGCTTACTGCAGCCTTGAACTCTTGGGCTCAAGTGATCCTACTGCCTTAGCCTCTTGAATAGCTAGGACTATAGGCATGCACCACTACACTAGTGTACTTTCTTTTTTGGGGGGGGTTGGAATCTCACTCCGTTGCCCAGGCTGGAGTGCAGTGGAACGCTCAACGACCACCCCAGCGTCAACCCGCTGGGCTCCGGTGATTCTTTCGCCTCAGCCTTCCAAGTAGCCGGTACTACAGGCGTGCGCAGTCAAGTACGGCTAATTTTTTTCTTATTTATTGTAAAGATGAGGTTTTGCCAAGTTCACTGGACTGGTCTTGAACCCGCTGGCTCAGGCAGTCCATTCACCTCAGCCTCCCAAAATGCTGGTATTACAGGCTGAGCCACTGGACTTGGCCACTAGAGAACTTGTAAAACAAAATTAAAAAAACATTTTATAGAGCTGAATGGGGTCTCACTATTTTGCCCAGATTCGTTTAGAAGTTCTGGCGCCTAGCTATCCTTCTGCCTCAGCCTCCCAAAATTCTGGGATTACAGGAGTGAGCCACTGGACCTGGCAAAAACTAAGTTATCTTTGATTTCAACTTAAATTCCTTTCCATGCAGATGAATCTGACTTGTGACTGTGTGTGAATAGGACTTGTTGACCATGAGGAAAGGGCTAGTACTAGAAGCAAGAGGGGTCTGTGCCTTGACCCTCTCCAAGGAAGCAGTCTAGCCCTTGCACTCACAGGTCCCACTCTTTCCATCTCCACCCACCACTACACCTTCCCTCCTTTGAATCCAGCTTATCAGAGATTTGGACATTTACTAGCCTAAGTCTTGAGGAGATTACTCCAAATTTTTATTTTCAACTCCCTATAGAAATCCTGAAACTTTTACTTAGAGAACCTTGTTAGACCGGAAAAGATGGTTTGTGTGTTGTCCTTTTATGGTTAATGACTTGATTTCCAGTCCTCAGAACTAATGGAATCCCTTCTCCTTGCTGTGGTATTTGCCTAAGACAGCTCCTATTAGACTTGTCAAGCATGATATTGGTGTTTCCACTTTTTCTATTTCTAATTGCTGTGCTTTCCAGGAAGTTATAAGTTATCATCACTTTGATTTAAAAACAAAATCTGTTGATGACAAAGGAAGGTATGCCACCCACAAAGTACACTATAATTCATTTTCTCCAGAAATAGACTCTTCTTTCCATATTCATCAGTGGATGAGTTTTCTCTTTTCTCTCTCCTTCATCATTCCCATCCTAATACTGCTTATGCCATTTCGTGTTTTGGTGGAGCTCTTGTTCTTTTCCAAGGAAAAGAGAAGATTCCTGGCTCCATCTTTACTTTCCTCTTGGTGGACTGGTAATGTCGGTGCCTCTGTTCTTTCAAGTATGATTGAAAGTGAACTAGGCTCGCATTCATATTTTAGCCTACACAACATCCAGGTTGTCAGCCTTCTTCTTTAGAAATCATTGCTTCTAGCTGAATAAGAGAATGCAAAAAAGCAGTGGGTTTAAGTTGAGGCTTTTTAGTTTGTTGTGGCAACAGGTTAGCTTTGAGTGTTTTGGAGTCAGAAGAAGATAAATTTGATTTCTTTGACAAAAGCATGGGAAGTTGTCAAATCCAATTCAAAAGCAGAATCTGAAAATAAGCTATAAGAATCTCATTATGAGGGAAAAAAATCAGAGGAAAAGCTAAATTCTGAATGGGAAAGGGAAAAGGTTAAAGCAGATAGTAGAAAGGTAAAGTTGATCTGTGTCCTAGCTTACAAGCCTATTACTTTGGGAAAACAATGTTGTTTCACTTTTCCCTTTCTCATGCTGACAGAATAGAGCAGCAGTGGTGATAATCCAAAGTAACAGATGTTCTAAAACCCATATTTTGGGCCTGGAAATTTTGGACCTTAGTGAATTATCCTTGGGTCTGATACTCTGAATATTCATTTTAAAGAAAGTCATGAAGCTGTTTAGTGAAGCCTTGGTTTCTGTCATCCTCTCATTCGAATCCTAGCCCAGCTTCTTGCTGCTTATTCTGAACTAAAACATAGGACAGCCCTTTCTGAGAGTCTAAAGTCCAACAGAGGTAACTCCATGGAACTTACAATTAAAAGGTGATGATGATTTGGAGAAACAACAGTATTTTTTAATAACAGTATTTTTTAATAGCCATTTAGAAAATGTGTATACAATACACATAGCCATATATTTCTAAATACACATGCAAAATACCAAGGGAAAGTAAATGCAACAAAATAACAAGAGATGTTATCTCTACTTAGTGCTGGTACAGGCATATGTTTGTATCTTCCTTTCTTTATTTTCTACAATTTTTATGATGAGCATCTAAAGCTTTAATATTAGAAAAAGAGACATTTTCAAAAAGCAACCAGTAAATGTGAAGTTTGAGCAATTAGTGTTTAACAGTGCTAATCACAGGAATAATTGCAAGTTGACAAAAAAGCATACTGATTGCTGAAAGTGGCAAGGAATCCTTATTAAGAGTGCATGTAGTAGTTTTCATAATTCACATGTGTTATAACATTTATTCTTCCATGTGTTAAAAAAATTAATGCCCTTTTAAATTATATTAATATCAGGCAATGATCTGACAGCAAAAGGCTACTTATGGAATACTGTTATGTTAGATTTTACTTGCAGGATGTTAAATCCTTAGAACCAGCATTTCCCCCAGAAACAGATGAATGGAAACATCGATTGGTTTTCAGGCTTGATAACTGCTGCTTCAAAGGGTGTCTTCAGGCAACCTTCTTGGGTCCCCTCCCACTGTGGGAGCTTTTCTGTCCTCTATAAATTCTGCTTTCAAAAAAACAAAGAAACAGTGGCTTTACACAAATACTAAGTTAACCCTTTGTATTCAGAGGCAGCTTTGGGATCACCACTAGCAATTTGACTGCACTTTCTTAAGAAATAGTGAAAAACTTAATCACTTCGTATGATGTAGTATAGTGTTGGAACTAGTTATTGTAATGATATTTGTCTTATAATGGAATTTTGCACATTGAGGAACTTATTTATGACCAAAAAAAAAAAACAAAGAAAATTTTTTATCTGATGTTTTTCTAATGTGTGAGAAACAATCACCGACATGCCTTGCTGGTTCGTTGATACATGTTATGCTGCAACAGTGATTTACTTGATGTCGTCCACCTGGTGTTTTTCTATTCAACCACACAATAATATGTAATTATTACATGTTAATCCGACATTAATAGTATGTAATTGATGGCCAGGCATGGTAGCTCACACCTGTAATCCCAGCACTTTTGGAGGCTGAAGCAAGAGGATTGCTTGAGTCCAAAGGTTTGAGATCAGCCCTGGCAACTTGGTGAAACCCTGTCTCTACAATAAATTAAAAAATTAGGGCCATTGCCTTACTAGACTCTACTGTGGTCATGTGCTCCTTTAGCTATGGCTGTTTTCTTGTTTCTTGCCTTAGGAGCCCTTCCCTGCCTTGGGGAAATGAATCTCATCTTTCGCCCTCTCTAATATACTTTTAAAATAAACTATATCTTCCAATCTTTAAAAAAAAATTTGCTAGGTGTGGTGACACACACCTATGGTTCCATCAACTTGGGAGACTGAAGTGGAAGGATTGCCTGAGCTCAGCAAGTTGAGTCTGCAATAGTCAGGAGTGTGCCACTGCACTCCGGACTGGATGATAGAATGTGACTTCAACGTTTAACAACAACAACAACAACAATAATAATAAAAAGTAATTTATTGTCTGGCCTGTTGTCAAAGGCAATGTAGAATATACTTGTGATTCTTGAAAACCACTTCTCAACTGATTGATGAGAAACTTGACAAATTTGAAATGGAACATAGGTTTTTGAATGGAAAATCTTCAAAAAAAACATGCATTTTTGAAAAATTTGTGTTTGCATAGGTTTGTCCTGTACAATCACCATTATAATTTCTTTATGTCCCCTGGGGACATCGAGTGGTTTGCTAGATTTACAGTGTTCCCTCAGAGGGGACATTCTCAGTGTAAAGAATTAACCTTATGACACAATGAATTGCTTTTATTTCAGTATGCATCCATACTTCAGCATTGAGTGTTCCTGAACAGAGAGTGGAAAACACAGCAATTTGACAGGAAGTCAAGCCCACCAGCTTCAGGATCTGCTGTGCACAAGAGTGGTTTTTTTGTTTTTGTTTTGAGTTGGAGTCTCAAGACTGGAGTGCACAGGCATGCTCATGGTCATTGCAGCCTTGACCCGCTGGTCTCAGGCAATCCTTCCCCCTCAGCCTTCCAGGTAGCTGGGACTACAGAAGTATGCCAGCAATCCTGGCTAATTTTTGATTTATTGTAGAGACAAACCTTGCCAATTTGCTCAGGCTGGTCTCGCACCCTCGGGCTCAGGCAGTCCTCTCGCCTCCGCCTGACAAAACGCAAGGATTACAGGCATGAGCCACCATGTCAGGCAGCATTTTCTTTTAAGGCTATAAATTTGGTTTTCATAAATTGTTCTTGGAGGCCCAGTTATCCATGTCCATCTAGTGTCATGTCTTTGTCATCTTCTAGACCCCAGTCAATTGTGTGATCTCTTATTCCTTTCTGGCTTTCTTTGAGTTCTCCCAACAGTTAAAATGATGAAGGGCTTTTACTCTTGAGACCGTGGTGTCTACCATCTTGTATCACTGTTGCTTGAGGCCTGCCATGCTTCCATTTTAAGGAAGAGGAAACGGATGCTTAGAGAGGTTAACTAGCTTTTGCTCTCTGTGGATCCACATCAGCTCAAAAGTCGAGAGTGTTCCAGGGAGCAGACTAGGAAAAGAGACAACAGAGGACAACCAACCGACTTAAATTAATTTCTGGTCATGGATAGTCTACATCCGCAGGTTGGGTTTTGAATTAGTGACACAGGCAAGGGAAAGCTTCCACCAGAACCATCTGAGCCTGGGTCTGGGGCAGCCAGGGTCCTCCAGATCCAGGCAATTTGTTGGGTCCTGGCACCACACTTAAAAATAAGCAGAATGCCAATAGGTAGAGAAGAGACGACCACTTAAAACTGGAGAGAAGAAGAAGAATATCCTCACCTATCTCTTCTTGCCTTTATCTCTGAATTTTTCCAGATTGAATAGTTTAAGGCATAAGAAAATTATTCTTAGAAGTCCACATGAACATTCAAGTGCTTACTGAGTATTTTGCATGTTTGAAAAATAACGGAGTTATTTTCATGTTAGCAATCAGTGTGTACCAGTGGTGACTGACTCTTGCCTCTCTCCCTATTCAGATCGTGTCTGCAGTCCAATATTGTCACCAAAAACGGATTGTTCACAGAGACCTCAAGGTGAGCAGAGATGCCCTTACTCTGTGTGCTCTGTATGTGTTCAGTTCTAGTGGAGGTTGTTATATAAATGAGGTGTAGTTTAGATTGTTTTATCGAATAAGAAAAACATAAATCCCATAATAGTTGAATGCTCATAACCAAGTTTTTAGTAGATACCACTGAAAATAAAGAAAAGTCATGTGTATAAAAAATATTTTACATTTTAGTTGAGGTGGCTTGTGGTTGGTCTTTGGAGGACACTCATCATGCAACCTACCAGATGGGACCTCCAGAAATGGATAATTTCACCTGGAGAGTGTCCTCAGCTCCATCTGCCATTCTTTTCCGCTGCTCTAGTCTGCATTCTCTCCTATGAACTGCTGTGCCTGTTTGAAACCTCTTTCAGGGTCTTTGACCTCCCCCCCTTCTCATGGCATAGGATGAAGTTTCATATTTCACAGAGAAACACCAGGCAGAAACTCCCTTAGTTTTCCACCATTCCCTCAATCCTAGCTCCACCTACACCCACCCATCACTCCTCTTGTTACAGGACAGTGGGCACCTCTGCTCTGTGTTGAGTCCTGGCTCTCCCAGAGCACTCTCCCCGGGACTGTGCTCTGGCTGATACCGCTTTTCTCTCTCTCTCTCTGTGTGTGTGTGTGTGTGTGTGTGTGTGTGCATCTTACTCTGTTGCCCAGATTGGAGTGCAGTGGCATGCTCAAGGCCACCGCAGCCTCAACCTGCTGGGCTCAGATGATCATTCTGCCTCAGCCTTTCAAGTAACTGGAACTATAGGCGTGCACTACCATGCCTGGCTTATTTTTTGATTTATTGTAGAGACAAGGTCTCACCAAGTTGCCCAGGCTGGTCTTGAACCCCTGAGCTCAGGCAAACCTCTTGCCTTGACCTCCCAACGAGCTGGGATTACAGGCTTGAGCCACTGCACCCAGCCTCTCCATGTTTTTATTCACTCTCCTCTGCTGGCTTCTCATCAGTGATATTTACACAGATTCAAGTCTATACCATCCTTCTTTGTTGTTTTTTTGTTTTGTCTTGTGTTTGAGTCAGGGTCTTCCTCTGTTGCCCAAGTTAGAGTGCAGTAGCACAATCACGGCTCACTTCAACCTCACCTTCCTGGGCTCAGGCAATCCTTCTGCCTCAGTCTCCCAAGTAGCTGGAACTATAGGCATGCGCCATCACGCCCAGCTAGTTTTTTGGTATTTTATGGGGATGGGGTCTTGTTATGTTGCCCAGGCTGGTCTTGAACTCCTGGGTTCAAGCAATCCTTCTGCCTCGGCCTCCTAAGGTTCTGGGATTGCAGGCATGAGCCACCACTCCCAGCCAAAGTCGATGCCGTCTTTTACCAAAAAATCCTCTCTACCAGTTTCCACTCCAGATGTACCACTTTTCTCTTTTCGTCTTCATAGATGTATTTCTCTAAACATTTCTTTGATTCCATGTCCTAACTTGGTACTCACCCCTGTTCTCTCCTCATGTGATTGTCACTGATTTGTTCCTTCCCTCACACCCACCCCTGGTGTGTTCACATCCACTCTGTTGGCTGCCTTGGCTATCTGTGTGCTGAAGACCCAAATCCACTCCAGCCTGAGTGCTCTTCTCATTCCCGGGATCCTTCTTCACAGAACTAAGTGGCCCTCTGGTACAGCGGGCTCAGAGCCTAAAAGTCTTCTTAAATTTGAGTGTTTCCTTCTCATTCAGGTGACGATCACCAGGTCTCTTGTTGCTGTGCTCTAAATATTTCTTAACCTCACTCTTGTCTGTCCCTGCTACATCACCCACCATCTCATCCTTGATTTTGATTTGACCTTCTTGCCTGTTCTCTGCTTCCAGTTTTGCCTCTTCTTCCCATGTATGTTTTCCACAGTGCGCTCAGAATGGCCTTCTCTACGAACACAAATAAGACTGCCGTTTGTCTGCTTAAACAACACTTCAGTGGCTTCCCATCGCCCTTAGGATGGAAACCCAAGCTTCTCGAGGACAGCCCTCCGTGTTCCTCCCTAGCCCTCTCTCTCTGCATCCCCTCCACATCCTGTCAGTTTCTTGAGTGAAGCATGCTCTCTCGCACCTGAATTCTTTGACCCTTTATTCAACCTGAAGTATCTCTCATGAACATACCCATTATGATCAATTGTACCTTTTTGTGCTTCGATTTCACGTCCTCCAGTAAGACTCCCACCCCTTTCAGGACTGGGCCCACAGTTCCTCATGCCTCCTCCATCGCATCACTTGAGTCTCAGGGCAGCTGCTTCCCTTTCTGCTTCTTCTAAACTATGAGCTCCTGAGTGCAAGGCCGTGTCTTACTTGTTCATCATTACTTTTCTGGACACCAAGAGAACTTCTGCTGTGCAGTAGCCTCATAGTAAGTGTTTGTTAAGATTGATGAAGGGAGGCTAGATGTGATGACTCACTGCTGTAATCCCAGCACTTTGGGATGTGGAAGCGAGAGGATTGCCTGAATCCAGGGGTTTGAGAGCAGCCCGGGCAACTTGGCGTGACCTTGCCTCTACAGTAAATTAAAAAATAAAAAAATTAGCTGAGCTTGGTGGTGCATGCTTGTGGTTCCAGCTACTTGGAAGGCTGGGTGGAAGAATCACCTGAGCCCAGCAGGTCAAGGCTGCGGTGGCTGTGAGCATGTCAGTGCACTCTAGTCTGGGTGACAGAGTGAGACTCCTACTCAAAAAATAAAAATATAATAGATGAAAAGGACTTTGATTTGTCTTTTGAGTGAAGTTTCAGATTCTCCTCTCTTCAGTAATAACCATTTTACAACTATTTAGCAATTTTTATGAAATGTGACTCTTCACTGAAAGCAGGTACCCATTTTTATTTAACCCTTAATTATTCTTAAATTAAACCTGTCAGGACTTTTTTTTGAATTGGGGTATCTTTTGTTTAGATTAATGCTAGAGGTAATCTGTAACTCATGTCTACTGTTGATTGTTAATATTACAAAAATAGGAATTCTAATTTGTTTCTTATTTTTTTCCTCCAGAAAGGATATTTTCTTACTTTATTAAGAGATACTAACTTTATATCACTACAAAAAGCTTTTCCGTCATAGTTCTAATTCTGTTTAGGTTAAACTTCTTTTTTGTCTTGATGTTTTCCTTCTAGGCTGAAAATCTATTGTTAGATGCCGACATGAATATTAAAATAGCCGACTTCGGTTTTAGCAATGAATTTACTGTTGGCAGTAAACTCGACACATTTTGTGGCAGCCCTCCTTACGCAGCCCCCGAGCTCTTCCAGGGCAAGAAATATGACGGGCCGGAGGTCGATGTGTGGAGTCTCGGTGTTATTTTGTACACGCTCGTCAGTGGCTCGCTTCCCTTTGATGGGCAAAACTTGAAGGTAGAATAAGCAGTTGCATCCATGTACTTTACAGAATTTTTAGGAGTTTCATAAAGTGATATGAGTTAAAGTTTTTATCATTATATCGTTGTGAAGGTTTCAGTGGGGTTTTTGTTGTTTTGTTAACCTAAATGTCGACTCACTTCATTTTCTTTCCTCTCTACCTCCCCAAAGGAGCTAAGGGAGAGAGTATTGCGAGGGAAATACAGAATCCCTTTCTACATGTCTACAGACTGTGAAAACCTTCTCAAACGTTTCCTGGTGCTAAATCCAATTAAACGAGGCACTCTAGAGGTAATCACATAGGTTGAAATAAGTAACAACTTAGAGAGTCTTTAGAGACTTTTTAGAATTTTGCTTGATTTGTGTGACATGTGAAATAATTTCTGGGGCTTTTAAAACAGGTATTGAAACATTAAAAGTAATGTTTTAAGTTACTCTGTGAGCTCTAGTCAATGAAATGTTGCAAATAGATTTTTCTAAATATTGTTGTTATTAGAATATTTTCTTTTCCACTGCTAATGAACAGTTCGCCTTTTCAGCAAATCATGAAGGACAGATGGATCAATGCAGGGCATGAGGAAGATGAACTTAAACCATTTGTTGAACCAGAACTAGACATCTCAGACCAGAAAAGAATAGGTAATTACTCTCTGTCTGCATGCTTGTGTATGTGTTTGTGTACATAGCGTATTTATTCTTTGACTCATGTATATGCCTGAAGTGTGCATAATAGAAAGTTAAATACAAGTTATATGAAACAGCTTGTCTTTTCTGTTATATTTAGGACCTTACTACCTTCAGTTCCCTATGATGACACCCAGTAACTCAGAAACAAGTCCTCATTTATGTTAGAAAAGGTGTAAATTTTGAGGTCATATAGAGATAATTATTTTACTCTGTAACAGGGTCATTTTTTACCCAAACAAAACACATAATTTTTATTATACCCTTCTTTTAGACATTATGGTGGGAATGGGATACTCACAAGAAGAAATTCAAGAATCGCTTGGCAAAATGAAATATGACGAAATCACAGCTACATATTTATTGCTGGGGAGAAAATCTTCAGAGGTAAGAGTAGTCAGAGAGTAAGAGGTGAAATACTCTTTGTGTAAATTAACAGGTTATGTAAACTGTTTTCTTAGTTTTATTGTTTTATTAAATGGAGTACATTTGGTATATAGTTTTTTAGATTTACCTGCAAATGGCAAATCTAATGCCTATGACCATTAAAAGCGACTCTTTTAAAAATAACCCTTCATGTTAGATATTGTCATAAGCCCAGTCTTTTGTAAGTCATCCTCTGGTCATTAATACTTTAGAAATGATATAAAGTATCAGATGAAGTAAATGGAACATTTTATTTGAAAAACCTGGGTAGAAGATCATAAATACATAACCTTATGTGACTTTTTCCAGCAGTCAGAAAATTACTTTTGCGTTTAGGGTTGTCATTTTTGTACATTATAATTCCCCTCTCTTTATATGAACTATTTATGAAAGGTCTGTGTTATGAGAAATTTAGATTCCTAATAAATCATTTGGGTTCGTGTTGTGGTTTGCTTTGTTTTTCATTTTCTCTTAGCTGGATGCTAGTGATTCCAGTTCTAGCAGCAATCTTTCACTTGCTAAGGTTAGGCCAAGCAGTGATCTCAACAACAGTACTGGCCAGTCTCCTCATCACAAAGTGCAGAGAAGTGTTTCTTCAAGCCAGAAGCAGAGACGATACAGTGATCATGGTAAGTTTGGGAATATCCTAGTGTGTTCTCCTGGAGTCCAAGCAAGATGTCCCCTACATTGGGAAGCAATCTCTTGCTCATAGCCTGCTAGAGTTAGAGATTGATTTGATGTCCCTTCTTGGCATTTATTTCTTAGCATTCCTATAGGTGCTGGCCTGATCAGCTCAAGTCTCTGATTGCCTTGGTGCATTCAGTGAGTGGGCTTTTGCTAGGTAATGCTTAGCTGGTTGGAAACCTTAGCATTTGCCCCTCTAGGACCTCTGCTTTAGTCTGTGGGTTCTTTTGGAAAAAAAAATTTTTTTTTTAAGAGTTGGAATCTTAATCTGTTGTGCAGGATGAAATGCAGTGGCATGATAATGGCTCACTGCGAATTCAACCTCCTGGGCTCAGGTCCACCTCAACTTTCCGAGTAGCTGGGACTACCAGTACATGCCACCATATCTGGCTCATTTTTTAAACTTTTAGTTAGAGATGAGGTCTCAGTCTGTTGCTTAGGCTGATCTTGAACTTCTGGGCTCAAGCAGTCCTCCAAGCTCGGCCTCTCCAAGTGCTGGAATTACAGGATTGAACCACTGTGCCTGGCCCCCAGTCTCCCTTTTCAACTTCACCAATCCTTTGATGCTTAAGACCACAGTGGATATGCTTACTGAGCTCTGCAGTTATTCTGCCCTCAAGGTGATCCGTGATCCAAGTTTTAAGAGTTCTGAGACTTTAGCATGTGTTTGTATTTACCCATAGCTATAAATGTTAACACTGCAGGTATTTCTTTTAATTCCATTATTCTAGGATTTAGGAACCAAATATATATTAGTCTGGACCTAACTTTTAAAGATATGTCCTCATATGGAACCCCCATTCATTCCTTGTTCGTTTCATTTCTCTTCTCTGGACGTTTTTCAACATTCTTTTACCTTGAGATTTGACACTTAAGGACTACACAGACCATTGAGATGTGGAAAGATTTGACTTTGTACTAAAAAACGGTGACACTGAGCCGGGCTCGGTGGCTCAGCCTGTAATCCCGTGCCTTTGGGAGGCTGAGGTGAGTGGATTGCCTGAGCCCGTGGGTTCGAGACCCGCCTGGGCAGCAAGACCTCATCTCTATAATAAATCAAAAAAATCAGCTGGGCGTGGTAGCGCACGCCTGTAATTCCGGCTACTTGGGAGGCTGAGGCGGAAGGATCGCCGGAGCCCAGCAGGTCGAGGCTGCGGTGGCCGGGAGTGGCCACTGCACTTTAGTCTGGGTGCCAGAGTGAGACTCCAACTCAAAAAAAACCAACAACAAACCACCCCCCCAAAAAAAACCCAACCAAACAAAAAAAAAAAAACGGTGACATTGGCTTGGTTCCTATTTCTTTTTCTGCTGATGCTTGCCTCTCTACATGGTTTGGACTAAAGCAGCACAGTGTACTAATATCAGTAAACTGTCTACAGTGTTTGCTTCTAGGGTATAACTGAGAGCTCAGAACCTACTATGACATCGCTTGATAGCAGGTGAAGGCAGGCAAGCCTGTAGCCAGGCCATCTTTTAGTTTACCCACCACCCCTTCTAGCCACCTCTCCCCTGTCCCTACTTCTGCATGTATGCCTGCTTCTCTAAAGCCACAATGTAATTTGTAGCCATGCTTCTAAATTTGAGACCCATGTGTGAACCCCTTGTATACACTAACCTACCTGGGAAGGGTGCTCTTCATCAGATTTTCAAGGGGTACTTTAGCCTGTTTTTTAAAAACAGAGAGAGAGAGAGAGAGAGACAGACAGACAGACAGACAGACACCCACCAAGCTTGGTGGCTCATGCCTGTATTCCTAGCACATTAGGAAGCCATGGCAAAGAGGATTGCTGGAGCCCAGGAGTTCCAGACCAGCGTGGGCAACATAGTAATGAGAACTCTTCTCTTAAAAAAAATTTTTTTTAAGCCACTGGTTTACTAATCAATAATGAAATGGTACTGGGGCAGTTTGGTAATTCTCAGGAAGAAAGTGATTTGAATGCCTTTCTCACATCTTATACAAGGATGAATTCCAATTGGAGCGAAGATGTAAAAATAAAACATAAAACTCCAAAAATATTAAAAGAAAATGTGATAATTTGCTTTATGACTTGGACTGGTAAAGTCTTTTTAACATAAAACACTAAACCCATTTAAAAAAGACTTATAATTTGTCTACATAAGCATCAAAGTTTCAGGCCAGGAGTGATGGCTTACTCCTGTAATCCCAGCACTTTGGGAAACTGAGGTGAGAGGATTACTTAAGGCCACGAGTTTGATGCTAGCCTGAGCAACAAAGCAAGATCCCATCTCTACCAAAAAAATAAAGACCAATGTGGTGACGTGCACCTGTAATCCTAGCTATGGGGGGAGGCTTAGGTGGGAGGATCCCTTGAGCCCAGGAGTTCAGGTCTACAGTAAGCCATGATTGTGCCACTGCACTCCAGCCTGGGTGACCGAGAGAACCTGTGACTCTTAAAAATTATTTTTTAATTAAAAAGTTATATTTCTGTGTGATGCATCCATATCATGGGCTACTACTCACAATAAAAAAGAACAAACTGTGGTACACACAACTTGGATCTCATGGGAATCATGCTGGTGGAAAAAAAATAAAAAATTACATTCTGTTGGTTCCATTCACACAACATTGTTAAAATGACAGGATTATGAAGATAGGGAACAGGATTCATAGAAGGGAATCAGAGTGAGAAGGAGGTGCTATGGCTGTGAAAGGGTATCCCACAAGACCTTTGCTGTGAAACTGTTAGCATCTTGCCTGGTGATGGATGGCCAATCTGCACATGTGATAAAGGGGTATAAAACCATATACACACACACTGAAGTCACTGCAAATAAGACTAGTGAAATGTGAATGAAGTCAGTGGATAGATCAATGTCTGTTTCCATTCAGAATCTCAAATTTTAAAAAGTTTTGCATTTTCTAAATACAAATAATAAAAGTTTGAAAGCAAATCAATAGTAACCTGAAAGTTCATAGTGTCAGTAGACCTCTCATGATATTGGGAAGAAAAGTAAGTGTTAAAGGTAATAGTATTATTCTATACTTGCTTAAGTCTTTGTTTTTTTTTTCATGTTTAGCAATCTTTTTTTTTGAATTGAAGTCTTACTCTGTCACCCAGGCTGAAGTGCAGTGGCATGCTTACGGCCACCACAGTCCTCGACCTGCTGGGCTCAGGCGATCCTTTCACTTCAGCCTTCCAAGTAGCTGGAACTTCAGATGTGTACTAGCATGCCTGGTTAATTTTTTTATTTATTGTAGAGACGAGGTCTTGCCATGTTGCCCAGACTGGTTTTGAACCCATGAGTCAGGCAGTCCTCTCATCTCTGCTTCCCAAAGGGCTGAGATTACAAGCGTGAGCCACTGTGCCTGGCTTTTGATTGACAATTTTTAATTCAAATGTAAAAATTCAGTACAAGCCATTTGTAGGGCTTAAGTCTTTGTTTTATATGTTAAATTTGCCAAATGAAAGCTTAATTGTCTTTGTCCCATAAATTAAATTAAGCTGTTGTTTACTTTTATTCAAGTCTCAAATAGATTTGCCATTTAGATTTTTGTCCAAGAAGAAGTGTCTCCCTTTTTACAGACTTAAAATATAACAGTCTCTTATTCCTTAGAGTAAATGATAAGCATTTGGTGCTGTTCTTTAAGATTACCACTGGACAGCATGTCTGATGAGTATACTTGTTACCTCAAAATTCATTGCACTCTGAATCTCCTGTGCTGTGTTAGAGTCTCCATATCGTTCACTACAGGACATCAGTTGATATTCCACGTGAGGTTTCCTTAGATGCACTACTTCTGGAGTAAGGGGTGTGACCAGTAACCTCTGCCCGTGTCCTCCTTGTCGCTTGCATGATTCCTCTGCTTCTCCCACTTTCCCCTGACTACTCAAATTCTTGTTTATCTAGAAGATCATGAATGCTTATAAAAGATTCAAGGTAAAACTTTAAGAAATGGTCCATAAAATCTATATTGTTCTGTTCCTAAAGGTTATAAAAGACATCTGTTATAAAAAAGCACGTACTTCACTAAATATACAAAGGTGAATCAGTTTATTCTGTATGATGTGTGTGCATCTAATTAGTTTGGTTACTTATCTATTCTGAAACACCCCCTTAAAACAATTCCAAAGGACAACTCTAATTGCTTATTTAAAAAAAAAAACATTTAGGAAAAGAAAAATATAGGGACCAATAAGTAAGTTTCAGTATTGAATTCATTGCATAGAGTAAACATTGTGTGTAAATGGGAAACATCTTAGAGGATTTGCTGTTTTATAATTTTTGGGGGGTGAATAGCAATCTTTGATCATTTTACAAAATGTTTATTTTCACAGAGTAACATTGAAACGATAGTCTTTTTAAAAGTGAACTCTTTGTTTTAGCTGGGCCAGCTATTCCTTCGGTGGTAGCATATCCAAAAAGGAGTCAGACCAGCACTACAGACAGTGACCTCAAAGAAGATGGAATTTCCTCCCGGAAATCAGGTGGCACTGCTGTTGGAGGAAAGGGAATCGCTCCAGCCAGTCCCATGCTTGGGAATGCAAGTAATCCCAATAAGGCGGATATTCCCGAACGCAAGAAAAGTTCGACTGTTTCTAGTGTAAGTGTTTTTGAACTACAGTGGAATCCACAGATGGTAGGATTGAACCTGGCCCTCATGGCCTAATCACTTCCTAAAAGTCCCACCTCTTAATGCTGTTACACTGGAGTAAAAGTTTCAACATGAATTTTGGAGAGAACACAAACATTGACTATACCATGTCTGCCATATATATACTAGATAAATGATCTAGTTCTTTTTGTCAAGGGCTCTTTCCACTTACTTCACAAACATAAGCATCTGCTGAGCCTTAGGCTATGTCAGTTGCTGAGAGATGGAAAAAACTCACAATCTAACAGGAAGTAGATGAAAACAATGCCAGTGTAGACAGAGGTCAGCATATAGAAGGTTACCGTGGATGCACTATGAGGCCTGACTGCCAGCACACCAGAGGCGTAGTATTTGCACTGAGTCTTCAAAGGGCTTTAGTGATAAAGAACATTAACTGAGTTCTTACCACATTGAAAGCCCATGCTAAGTGTTTTTCCACTGATTAGCTACATTTTTTTTTTTTTTTTGAGTTGGAGTCTCACTTGGTCGCCCAGACTGGAGTGCAGTGGCCGCTCCCGGCCACCGCAACCTCGCCTGCTGGGCTCCAGCGATCCTTCCACCTCAGCCTTCCGAGTAGCCAGAATTACAGGCATGCGCTACCACGCCCGGCTGATTTTTTGATTTATTGTAGAGATGAAGTCTTGCTGCCCAGGCGGGTCTCGAACCTGTGGGCTCAGGCAATCCACTCACCTCAGCCTCCCAAAGGTGTGGGATTACAGTCTGAGCCACCGAGCCCGGCTTGATTAGCTACATTTTAAGGTGAAGAAAATGAAAGAAAACTTGGGTGATTGCCTTAAATTACACTACTGATTTAAATCCAGCTCTTAATCCCTACCTGCAACAAAATCTCCCTATTAAGTAGGTAGTATTCGCTAAATTAAATAGAATACATTCAGCTTCAGAAACTTTTACTATGAAGTAACTTTTACTATCTGAACTAAAGTAGTAGTTATTATTCTTAGCACTCCTAGGGTAATTTCACGAACAATTTGCAGAGAAGTGAACAATCTTAAGATGATTCTGTAAGCCTGTTATTCCCTACAAAATTAAGAGTGACGCAGCCCTGCTGGTATCCCCAGAAAAACCCTGGATTGAGGAACTCTTGGGAAAGCCCTGCTACTGCCAATGAGAGAATTTCTTGTGCCATTCTGGGGACAAGAGCACATAGAAGAGCCCAGGGAGTTTTGTCTGTTCTATCATCTGACCTTGTGCTTAGAGTAAACCCTGCATGAAAAACGGTTAATATTGGCTTCTGAATGCCATAAGATAGGGTTGTTTTTCTACAGCCCTGCCGTTCAAGTTCAGTCTCCAACTTTCACTGACAGTTAACACCAGAGAAGATAAGGACTCCTCATTCTCTGCCTTCATGCCTTTCATCCTCATTGCTCTTATCTTCACATTGCCCTTTGAAAGCATATCATTTTACCCATTATCAGTCACCTACATTTGATTACAGAGAAAAACATTGTTAGCAACATCACTATAATTTTCTCCCATTGGTCTTTGGAATTCCTCCGTACATGGGTCTACTCATGCTGTATCAGTGGTGACTATTTTATCTTTTTGTAAAAATTATTTGATAAAATTCCTTAGTTGTGATTTTTGTTCCTTGCCTTTTCCATTTTTTAAAAATATTAGGTTTATGTGAAATCCACATGGCTTTTAATTAACCATTTTAAAGTGTGTGATTCAGTGGCATTTAGTACATACACTCATGATGCCATGCGACCACTACCTCTCTTTAGTTTCAGAGCTGTTTCAACACCCCACTATACCCTGTATCCATTAAGTAATCACTTCTTACACTCCCATCGCCAATGCCCTGGCAAACACCAGTCTTTTCTCTCTCTCTATTGATTTGCCTGTTGGGAATATTTCACATAAATGAGTCATTCAGTATGCATTGCTTTGTGTCTGCTGTTTTCTTTTAACTCCGCATATAGTTTTCTTTTCTTTTTGTTTTTGTTTTGAGTTGGAGTCTCATTCTGTCACCCAGGCTGGAGTGCAGCCCCACACTCACAGCCACCCCAGCATCCTGCTGGGCTCAGGCGATCCTTGCCTCAGCCTTCCAAGTAGCCGGAACTATAGGCGTGCGCTAATTTTTTGATTTATTGTGGAGATGAGATCTCGCCAAATTGCCCAGGCTGTTCTCAAACCGGTGGGCTCAGACAATCACCTCACTTGGCCTAAGTTGCTCATTTTAAAATGGAATTGTTTGTCATTTTGTGGTTGAGTTGTAAGAGTTCTTATGTATTCTGGATAGTAGACCCTAGTCAGATATTTGATTTGCAAATATTTGCTCTCATTGTGTTGATTTTCTTTTCATTTTCTTGATAATGTCCTGTGGTGAGCAATTTCTAATTTTGATCAGGTCCACTTTATTTTTTTATTTTATTGCTCATGATTTGGTGTCTTATATGTGGATCTATTATTAAATGTAGTGTCATGCAGATGTTTTATATCTATTTTTAATTATATTTATCTTATATTTGTTATCCTACTGTTTAATTTTGAAAGTATTTGCCTTTAAAAATAGTGGCTTACCATATTGTCCTTCTTTAGTCCATGGATTATTACTTTCTTGATTATTATAAACCATTATTGGAGTCCCCATACCATGGCTGTTTTTAATTTTTCTGCTAGTAGAGGTTGCCCTCCCCACCCCTGTTTCTGATCTTTGGCTGTTACTATTGATATTTTAGTGTAGATTGATTTAAAGACTGAGTATTCCTGTTTATATAGATGAGTTCTTTTTCTTCTCATTTTACTGTACTTTCCAAATAGTTTAAGACAAAAATGCCCCCCTTTTTTTTATAGAGTAACACAGCATCTGGTGGAATGACACGGCGAAATACTTATGTTTGCAGTGAGAGAACTACAGCCGATAGACACTCAGTGATTCAGAATGGCAAAGAAAACAGGTATGAAATATTACCTGTTTGCAATACAATTTGTTTTTCCCAAGAGAAATGGAAGCATGCTACTTCTCAATTTTTAGCATCAAAATTCAAATTATAACACTAAGTATTCTCTGAAGGTAAGTTAGGATTGAGTGTTGAGTTTTAGCAAGATACTACAATTCCAAATTCTTGTTTAGAGCATCATCTTTCTGGCTGGCTCTGTATTGTGATTAAAAGGATTGAGTTAAATGAAGGCGGTTTCCTAGATGAGGTAGATAGTAAGCTTGGCTTCATTGTAGAACAAGGAACAGGGAAATGGAGATTATTTTGTGTAGATTAATGATATGAACAAAGGCTGAAAGTGAAGGAGGATAAGGATGTAAGGCAGAGAACCACACCTTGGGAGGACATGCACCCCAGGAGGAGTGGGTGTTAAAGGTCAGCAGTCTGCCCAAGAGTTCAGATGGCTGAGTAGTAGCAGTCTCTAGTTTAGAAAGCGATATACTTGAGGGTCCAAGAGAAATGGGTAATACGGTCTTCTAAATGTTTTTAATCTGGTTGAGGGGCAAGCATACATAGAATGAGCATGATTAAAATACTAATAAGGGATATGTCAGTAAGGAGGGAAACATACAAACAACTTTGGGGGGGATTACGAAATAAGAAAATAAGTTAGTAAAGTGGGATTAGGTAGGTGCAGAGATAGTGAGGTAGGGCTAGTTTGGGAGGAGGTAAAAAAGAGAGCGAGCAGTTGGGTTGGTAGAGATTAGTTAACTATACTGTATTTTGTATAGAACAGATTTCTTAGGCTGGCATGGATTTTTTCCTTCTCTGTTTTTAGAAGAGTGGTATATAAACTAAATGGAAAGCAACACTATAGGAGTCAAGCTGATCCTGGAATAGAAGTCCATAAAACTAAGTTTATGTCATCCTCCTGACTTGAGCATTGTTTGATCATGTCTACCATCAAAACTGTTTTTTTTCTTCTGACATTTACTTTCTCAAATTGCTTTGTAAGATTTATGTTTCCTTAATCTTTAGTCTTCCCTTTGATCTCAGTAACCACATGAAATGTTTGCTCGCCAACTTTTATCACAGCCTAAGCAAAGATTCTTTTTTCCTTCTTCTTCACTGTTAAAAACCAAACTATTTATTATTCTGCATTCTGTAGATCACCTAAGTTTGAATTGAAACATAAAGTTTGTTCTGTCAGATGATGTTAATTATTCAGTGAGTTTTTAGCAACATTTCCATGTTCTCTTTTCTGACTCCTATGTGTGTATTTTAACATTATCTTTTTCAGTACATTTAAAAACTAGTAAGAACGTAATTGAATATAGCAGTCAGGCTAGTTAGTTCACTGATAGTGACTGTATAGATCTTTCCTAATAGTAGTCTAGCTCTGATAGATTTTTAATACAATTCTGTTCTCAACTCTATCAAATTTCTTCTAGTTCAAAAGTAACTTAATAGGAGTTATTGGTAGAAGACCTGATAGAAATTTCTAATGTTCTAGATTTTAGTCTACAAGACTGGGAAAATGTTCCGTGGCCCTTCTTATTTTGACAGATGCTTCTGCCTTGCTGAACTGCTTTGTCTAGCTCCTTCTAACTTTAGGATATGTGACTATGGGGCACCAAGTCAGATGTCTCAGGGGTGTTGAGAGCAGGATCTACTCCCTGCTCCCCATCCTGTGTACATGATCATGTGGATATGCTTTTCTAATCCTGCTTTCTGTACATTGTTTGTTGGACTCTTGGGAAATAGTTTGGACGATGTCTTTAATTTCTTCAGCTTCACTTCCTGTCTGCATTCCCCTGCAGATGACACCTTGCTTGTTGGTGCTCACTGCCTCGCATCCTGATCGGGGCCTCATTCATTGAAACACTCCTTCCCTTAGTATCATTCATGGAAATACTTTGCTTTTGAAGGTGCCAAGCAGAGGCTCAGTGCCAGGTCTTACGAGGCAGGCCTGTAGTTTTAGTAATATCTAGATTCTAGTTTTCTATCTTGTAAATGAATTGGAAGAGGAAAACTATTAGGTTTGAGAGCTGAAACTAGTGGTCATAATTTTGACTTCAGTTAAGGCTAGAGTTGAGTTAAATATGACTGCTGACTTTCTCTCTGTTAGGGTACGGCAGGGTGAGGGTGGAGAGTCTCAGAGAGGTGCGCAGCACTGCTGGGACTGACAAGCCGGAGGTGCGTGCTGGCAACCTAGAGATCTGAGTAAATGCAAAGAACTTTGACACACAAAAAGTTTAAGAAATAAAAGTTTATTTAAAAGTAAATTAGAGAAAGAAAAGAAAGAGAGAAGATTCAGCTCCCCAAGGTGGGGGAGAAGGACCAAAGCCAGGAAGCATGGTGACAGCCATAGCTCAGAGAGCACAGGGCCACACCAGAGTCTAGCAAGGCAAAGGTCACTGGTTGCTTGTGGTTGAATCCTTTTAACCATTCCCTTTGATGGGGGAAGATCATTAGGGTGATTGGATGGTGGTCTGCTTCCACGTCATCACAAAGGGGCAGGCAATCACAGGTACTGATGATGTCAGGTGATGGACAGCAGGCAGATAGGTGGGTTAGTGATTGCTGCCATGGTGGGGCTTATCTGTGTCATAGTTCACAGAGGGCTGATTAGGTTAACCCTGGGGTGAGGGGGTTCCTGCAAGTGACTTGTTAGACATTTGCAATTCACAAACTCAGACATTTGCAGTGTACAAACTCTTATGACTTTGGCCTTTACAAGGAATCAGAAGTTTACTAGAGATTATTATGCTAAACCATGAATGTTTGGGTTGTCCTGGTCTTGCATCTGAAGGAGATTTGCTTAGGGGGGATGGGCCAGGCCGCCATTTGTCCTGCAGTAGAATGTCTGAATGCTTTCTAATGGTTATGCTGAGGCTTTTTTAAAAGACTAAAGAATAAGCTAAGTTTCTTCTATGTTTCACTCTCAAAATCCATGCTTGAGTCTTCAGTCAGATACAATTAGCCTTATCTCTGCCCAGCTGCCTTCTTGGGCAGATTACTGCTTTCTCTTCTCTTTTCCCACCTATATGTCTTATTCCTTCACTAATTAAAAATACTGATAAGCTGCAGGATACCTGGACCTATGTTAGCTTCTGAAACAAACACATCAAGCTCCAATTGTAACCTTAAATATGTTGGACTTTTTTCTTTTAGCGGAATGTTTGTATAGAATTTGAATGTGAGGTGATCTTGGTGCCTGGGTGTGGTGGTTCACCCCTATAATCCCAGCACTTTGGGAGGCTGAGATAGGAGGATTACTGGAGCCCAGGAGTTGGAGACCAACTTGAGCAACATAGCAAGACTCCATCCCTACCAAAAAATAGAAAAATTAGCCAGGCATGGTGGCAACATGCCTTTAGTTCCAGCTTCTCAGGAAGGCTGAGGTTGAAAGGATTGCCTGAACCCAGGAGGTTGAGGCTGCAGTGAACTGTGATTGTACCACTGCACTTCAGCCTGGATGACAAAGTGAGACTTTGACTCCAAAAAAAGAAAGAGAGAGTGATCATGGCTCATAAAAAGTCTGTAGAAGTTTAAACCACAGATTCCACATGCCTGGAACCCTTGCTATCTTACTACTCTAAACATACCACTCATCAAATGTAGAGTTTTTTCCTTTTGCCATAAACAAGCTAATTGATTTTTAATAGTGTTTTTATTTTTAAATTAGTTTTATTAATTATTACTAGAGTAATCTTTCTGTCTTTTTGTTTTGTTTTTGAGTCGGAGTCATACTGTGTTGCCCAGGCTAGAGCGTAGTGTCACCATCATGGCCACTACAGCCTTGACCTTCCTAGTGGCTGGGACTACTACACCTGGCTAATCTTTTTTCTTTAATTTACCATTGAGATGCAGTCTTACCATATTACTCAGGCCGGTTGTGAACCTCTGGGCTCAGGCAGTTCTCTTGCCTCCGCCTTCCAAAGTGCTGGGATTGCAAGCATGAGCCACTGCTCCCAGCAAATCTTTCTGTTTTATCAGCTTTACTGTGAAAAATAAAGTTGATCATGAGTGGGGCTAGGTTTTGTCTAGCTGGTGCTTAGGCACAAGCACCTGTGAGTAGTTTTCTAAATTAAGACTCACTTTGAAACCAGGCATGCTGAAGACCTGCCTGCTTCCTGTAATCATCTTGATGTAATTATTCTTAACTTTCTGATGTCAGTCTTGAAAAATGGCCCAGTCTCAACCATGACCAATAGTTGGTGTTAACCAGGCATGAGAAAGTGTGGTTACGTCTTCGATGATATGATTCTGTCAAGATCATGGAGGTTTACAATGAGTCTTCAACCGCTTAGACACTGACACATAGTGTTCAACAAATATTAGCTGTCATTATTAGTCATAAGCTGTTCAGATAAGAGTGTGAAGAATTTTCTCAATTTATACTGACTAAACCTAATCTTTCAAGTTAATAATGTTGCTGAACAACCTACATAGCAGGAACATCCTGCCCAGACTTTTTCATATGCTTCTAGACATCTGTATGAAGCTATTTAGACTACATGGATTTAAAGACCCTCCCACACAAGAAAAATAACAGGAAGCACAACAGAATCATTTTGAAGAAGTTTTAGGTATTGGATATCACTGATAAAATTTAAAGTGACTTTATTACTTTAATCCGCTTAACCATTTGCTCTTCATCAAGTCAGAAGTTGAATAGAGAAGGATTGAGGACAGTTAGCACATGCATCAATATATGTACATATTTGTGTGTGTGTATATATATACATATATATGTATATATATGTGTGTGTGTGTGTGTATATATATATAAAAAAAAAAATATATATATATAAAAAAGAGAGAGAGAGAGATTGTTTTAAGGAATGAGGTCTTGCTGTGTCACCTAGACTGGAGTACAGTGGCTGTTCACATGTGTAATCATGCACCCTGTAGTCTTGGGCTCCTGGGCTCAAGCAGAGTTCTATAGGCCCATGGTACATTTTAGTTCTGCTTTTGCTCTTATCAGCAACCAAAGCATTTCATGGTAAAATGTTACGATATGGGCTGGATGCCATACCAAACAACTTCAAAGTACCTGTCCTTTAGTAGCTATAGGGGATTAAGATAATTGGTCTTAAGTATAACAGTTGGGAAGATTAAAAGGAACTCAGCTTCATCCCATGGGAATTCTAAGAAGAGCATTGCTATTTCTATAAAGTAAGATTTAAATGAACACAGCTACTGTTTAGCTTATGTAGAATGTTGTGGGCTAGACTATGAAATAACATAATTTTTAACCCTTTTCTGGGGGAGAATGTTCTTTAACTTTCATAACCAACTTGATAGCCTTTCTGAGTATGCAGGCTGTTGTGATGTTGGGGCTGCCTGTTGTAAATAGACTTTTTGTGAACTTGATTGTACAAACTTGAAATTCAGCAGACCGCTGAGTTTAATGTTTCCTAAATCAGGGTGCCAGGTCTATTGTAGAAGTCAGAAAAATCAGGCAGGCACAGTGGCTTATGCCTGTAATCCCAGCACTTTGGGAGGCAGAGGCGAGAGGATTTTAGTTCAAGGGTTTGAGCCCAGCCTGAGCAACATGGCCAGACTTTGTCTCTAGAATAAATTAAAAAATTAGCTGGGTGTGGTGGCACGTGCCTGTGATTCCAGCTACTTGGAAGGCTGAAGCAGAAGAATTGCCTGAGCCCAGCAAGTTCAGGCTGCAGTGGCCGTGAGTGTGCCACTGTCCTCCAGCCTGGGCAAAAGTGAGACTCTGACTCAAAAAAACAAAAGAGAAAAAGTCAGAAAAATCAGTTTTGTGGCTTGCTTAAATTTCTAAAGAAACAGTTTATTTAATTACCTTTGAAATTAATATGTCAAAAAAAGTACTAACTTAAAGTATTAGTTTGCATTTTCTCTTTAGAAGGATCTCTAACTATAATAAGGATCCATTTTTTTGCTGCAAAGCATCTAGTCTCAACGCTCTTGCCTTGCTTATATGCCAGTATGTCTTGCTACCCTGCTGGTCAGTCAGCAGTGTGCTCAGGGTAGTAGGTAGGACTACCTCTTGGTCTGCAAACTGACTAAAGCTCTTTCCTTCTGCATAGTCTTTGGGGCCTTTTCTATTCACTGGGAAAGACGCCAAACAACTCCTGCCTCCCGGTCTTCCCCTGGTTTCTTTGGTATATCCATTGCTCCTAGCTCCTAATTTGGATGGGGAAAAAAAATGTCAGGAGGTAGGCAGAGGCATAAAGTGTGTTGATCCTAGACTTTCCCTGAAAGATAACAGAACCCAAAAGACAGTTGTATTTATCTGTAACTTGTTAGAAAAATAAAATTTTTGTATGATATGTATGCCCATACATGTATACAAGAATCAACCCAGAGTTTCTTTAAATACTTGTATCAGTTAGGACTCTCCCTGTTGCAGGTGGCAGAAAACCTAGTGCAAACAGGGTTAAATATAAAAAGACTTCTGTGAGTTCATAGAACTAAAAAAGTCCAGGGCTAGAGTCGGTGTCTGTCTCCTCATTCTCGGTGCCCACTTAGTAGAACCGATGTCTTCCCACTCACAGCTGTGCTCCAGCAGAAGCCTTGCAGTTGTCTCCTTGATCTATTGGGTCTGGCTCTGGGTATCTGTAAGCTTGTCACTGGCCAAGGAAACTGGGAAAAGTTGGATTGGAGTCAGCTTCATCTGCAGCCCAGGGGCCTAGAGTTGCATACCTTAAAGCAAAATTTGAATATTGTTGCCACAGGAAAAGAATGGATACTACTGAGTGACAAAAGAAAATGAAACTGAATAAATGTTTCTTTTTATAGGGCATTTGTTTCCAGTTCTTGTATAGAGCCAGTCTCCCAAGGCAGAGGACAGAATTCTTCCTTTTTGAGTTGAAACTGAATAAATTTTTCTTTGTATGGGGCATTTGTTTCCAGTTCTTATTTAGAGTCGGTCTCCCAAGGCAGAGGACAGAATTCTTTCTTTTTTTTTTTTGAGTTGGAGTCTCACGCTGTCGCTCAGACTGGAGTGCAGTGGCATGCTCCTGGCCGTCGCAGCCTCGACCTACTGGGCTCTGGTGATCCTTCCACCTCAGCCTTCCAAGTAGCTGAAATTACAGGCGCGTGCTACCATGCCCGGCTAATTTTTTTGATTTATTGTAGAGATGAAGCCTCACCAAGTTGCCCAGGCAGGTCTCAAACCCACGGACTCAGGCAATTCACTCACCTTGGCCTCCCAAAGCGCGGGATTACAGGTTGAGCCACCGAGCCCGGCCTGTTCGTTCTTTTTGAATTGCATTCTTACTCCGTCACCCAGGCTAGAGTGTAGTGGCATGATCACGACTACTGCAGCCTCCACCTACTGGGCTCAGGTGATCTTTCCAACTTAGCCCTCAAAGTAGCTGGAACTATGGGTGTGCACCTCCATGCCCAGCTAATTTTGTTTTATTTATTGCATAGAGGAGGTCTTACCATGTTGCCCAGGCTGGTTACGAACCCCTGGGCTCAAGCAATCCTCTCATGTGAGCTTTCTAAAGTGCTGGACAGAATTCTAAAAATGCAGGGACAAGCAGCTCTTGAGCAATTTTTAAAATAATAATTATTTTATGTTTTTTTCCTGGGTGTTCTGGGGTTTATTGGGGGCCGGGAGGCCTATTTTATGTTTTTGAGTTGAAGTCTCACTCTGTCATCCAGACTGGAGTGCAGTGGCACACTCAAAGCCACTGCAACCTCCACCTGCTGGGCTCAGGCAATCATTCTACCTCAGCCTTCCAGGTAGCTGGAACTACAGGCATGGTGTTTCAGGCAAAGCCTAGATAGATGGCAGGGGCCGACTTCAGGTGCTTGAAGATGTATGACTTGATTTGTCAGGGTTAGAAGTCTGAACTTCATCCCAAAGACTCGGTGTGCTGTAGGAAGGTGGTGAGCAGATAAGTGGAAAGGTCTAGTTTGTATTTTGGGAAGTTCGTAGCTGTAAGGTGGATAGATTAGAGGGGTGTGGGGGTCAAATGAGCAGGGAGTCCAAGGAAGATGAGGAATGAGGCAGAAGTGGAAGGAATGGGCCAACTGAGGGGCTGTTAGGAAGGTTGACACCATCAAGATGTGGTTGGTCAGGGTATGTGGAATGAGGGACAGGAAGATCTTTCTGGTTTCAAGGAGTCAGTCCTTTGAAGGGATTTCTGTGGAAAGACACTGGGAAAGCGAAATCCCTGCTTATCCATAAAGAAACTGCCACTTGAACTCCAAGGACAGAATGACTGAACTGGAATTCGGGAATAGTGTGGTCCTTGTGAGACTCCTGTGGGTAGTTTTACCTGGTAGCTGTCTGTGCCAGGTGAAACTGCAATCTTCAGTCACTCTGTTCCTCTTGTGTGTCTGTAAACAGTTCATTTGCTCTGATGAGTTTTCCCATCTTAGACGAAGAGGCTCTGTTTTTAGGGATTTTGACTTTTCTTTTATAAAGGACTAAATGTTCTTTGAGTAGGAAGTTTCTAGACTACATTGTTAAAGCAACATAGGATACTCTGGTATGTAACAACTCGTTCCTGTACCTGTAATTATTGGTTCATCAAAAATATGTCTGTGTTTTTGGAATAGATTAAGAGCACAGCATGCTCATATATACACTTTATCACTTAGATTTTAATGGACACTACTTAGAATAGGCTCTATTTTATTCAGAACTCAGCGAACATTGTCCCTCTCACATACACAAATACTCAGACATGTAAGCTGCTGTTTTTTCAAGGTAATACAGTATTTTTAAGATTACTGTTTGAAAAAAATCAGCTACACTTAGAAATTGCTCCAGAATCCCCAAAAGAAATTTAAGAGATTTTTATTCTTTGGCAAAAATGAAATGGTTTGGGAGGAAGGTATGTACATTACACACAAGTTGCTGTGTGGTCACTACTCCTTCATACTGTGTTTCTGACTCTGCCTCAACCCAAATCCCTCCCAGCCTGATGGAAATGTTCGCTTACGCAACTAGCCCTGCTTCAGTTTGTACCATATCTTCTACCTGTCGGCTGAGACATCAGAAGTCGATGTCTGTGTCAGCCTCTGGGCACCCCATGATGATGTTACCTCTGATAGACAGCGCAGGAAATAACTTCAAGGCTATGTAAGAAAAGTGCACATTCCTCATGAAACTGGTGTTTACCCACGTCTTAATTTTGTGCTGTGGAATTTATAGTCCAAGATTTTGTTACAGTCGTTCACAAGGTGTCCTTTCTCCATGTGATTAGTTAAGCACATCGTGTCTCATGGTGTCCTTGGTCGCCTGTGTGTGTCTTCGTGCCTTTGCATACTACAAAGTGTGTAAGGAGTTCCCACTCCTCCCAAAGTTGCTTTCAGCGTGTGGAATTTTGTACTTAGACCGTGTGTGTGCTTCCAGAACCTTTTAGTTGCCTTTATCCTTTCTTGCTTTCATATTGGCACGGTTCTCTGTGTGTAAGCAATTTGAGAGGGAAGCAAAGGGGAAGAGCCTGAGTTAGCCATTCTCTCTCAATAAATTTCCCTGCATTAATCCAGTCCGTGAAAACATATGTATACAAGTCCCTTAAATTCTACGAGGGTACCCTTTCCCACTTTTGCTCCCAGGTCCTGTAAAATACACCTTGGATCTGAATTTAGTATACCCATTTTTGCCACTGTGTATAAAAGGTATATTGTGACTGTAAATTTTTTGTGTGCCATGATCGTAAGAGTCTCTTACTTTCTGGTCTCATAGCACTATTCCTGATCAAAGAACTCCAGTTGCTTCAACACACAGTATTAGCAGTGCAGCCACTCCAGATCGAATACGCTTCCCACGAGGTACTGCCAGTCGTAGCACTTTCCACGGCCAGCCCCGGGAGCGGCGAACTGCAACATATAACGGCCCCCCTGCCTCTCCCAGCCTGTCCCATGAAGCCACACCATTGTCCCAGACTCGAAGCCGAGGCTCCACTAATCTTTTTAGTAAATTAACTTCAAAACTCACAAGGAGGTAAGTGCAGGTGATGCTCATTGTTTTGGAGTGAACACATAGAGCAAAAGGAGAAATGTCTTTTCTGTTGTGTGAAGCCGTTGCCTGGATGCTTTTCATTCTGCCTTCAGCTCATGTTTTTCTGATTTTATATATATCTAATGTTTAAAACCTTCCAAATAGAAATTACAGAATTCAGGTCTTCATAACACTAAAGGTTGCCTTTGGGAAGTTTTTGTTATTTCATTACTCTTCCTTTTAATTACACATCTAGAGTTCAGATCTTGAAGTTTTCCCCTTTTTTGGCCCATGTAAGTTATACTGAGAGCAAGGTAACTTTTTACATGTATAGTTTTGGAGAGAAAGTCTCTGATTTACTCTCAAAAATACCAGTAATATTTGGCTGTGTATAAAAGGCTCCACGTGTCGAATGGGCTGTCATTTGGGCCTCAGAAACTCTAACAGTCCTTTGAGACTTTTTCCAAAATCTAGTGTACCTGTTGCAAAAGCTGAGAAATATTGACTGCTTCAAGGGGAAAAGAATCCCACCTTGAACTGTAAGCAAATAGAGACAGGCACCTTTAACCAGGAACGAATCCAGGAAACCCAAGAGGCCCTGCAGCTTCAGGACTCCCCAGAAGTTTTTTGAAATTAAGCTGAGCCATGGACTAGCACATATGGGGTGTCCTGCAGTGTTTCTGGTGTGGACCCTCTCGTGTTGGGAACATCAGTCAGATCTCAGCTTGACCCGTGAGTGCTCTGCTCTGTTGCTCTGCACTCCTCCTGGCCTGTTGCCTACCGTTTCGTTTCACACCATCTCCATTATTTAAACTGCAAGCTAAATGTCACTTTTCAGTCTCCTTATAGACCCGTCATCTGAAACTTAGGTGAGTCCTGTTACACATTCTGGTCGGTTTGTTATGAGGACAACAAATCACATTAGGGCAGATTTCTGATGTCCATTAAGCATCAATTAGAAGCCAAAAGATTTCAGTCTCCCTTCTTACTCTGCTCTCATCCCCTTCAGTAGTATGTCCCATTTCAGATTGGGCAGAACAGGATGGTCTAAAAGGCCATGCTAGGTTTGGGGCACCCATTCACGGCCAGTGAGAGAGACGATGAGTTCAGTCTGCGAAGAGCCTGGAGACCTCAGAATAAATCGTTCCTTCCTTTCAGGGTTGTCCCATGGCCTGCCCTGGGCCTCCTCATCCCCTAACTCCTTCCTCAGGACCTAGGCTGAAATGAAACCTTCCTCTGAAACTGAGTGATAGAGGACAGAGCCAGGTATCAGTCACATGGCTGTCCCTCCTCCTGTCCCTGCTTCATGCCACCAGGTGTTTTCCCTCTCAGCAGCACAGAGGGGGGATGTGCAGTATTCAAGTTTGGCCTCATTGAGGAAAGGCAGCCTCGTGCCCATACACTTTGGGCTGTCATTGCCTTTTGGTTTTTGAGGCGGAGTCTCCTTTGCCCAGGCTGGAGTGCAGTACCATGGCCATAGCTACCGCAACATCAAACTACCGGGCTCAAGCGATCTTTCCATCTCAGACTTCCAAGTAGTTGGCACATGCCACCACGCCTGGTGAATGTTTTGATTTATTGTAGAGATGAAGGTCTCACCATGTTGCTCGGGCTGTCTTACTCCTGGACTCAGGCAGTTCTCTGGCCTTGGCTTTCAAAGTGCTGGGATTACAGGCATGAGCCACTGTGCCCAGCCTGTAATTGACTCTTTAAGGAAAACCTTGCACGTCATTAAAATCCTTGAGGTTGTTTAGTTGTCTTTTTTCCCCATTTTGGACAGTCTGAAAGCTATCATTGATAAAAATATCAGCTCCTGTTACTTTGTGCTAAGATACATGCTTACTGTATGCTAAGATACATGACTATAGATAGATATAGATAAACCTAAAATAGGTACATATATAAATATATATATATATTATGTATACACACATTTTTCTGTATGAGTATATATGTAATATATATACTTTTTTTCTTTGAGTTGTAGTCTCACTCTGTCACCCAGACTGGAGTACAGTAGCACAATCATAGCTCACCCCAGCCTCATCCTCCCAAGTAGGTGGAAATCCAGGCATACACCTTTATTTATTTCACTTATTTTTTTGTAGAGATAAGGTCTCACTATGTTGTCCGTGCTGATCTTGAACTCCTGGGGTGAAGCAGTCCTCTCTCCTTGGCCTGCCAAAGTGCTAGGATAACAGATGTGTGCCACCACACCTGGCCTATTACACATACATTTATATGTGTGAAATGGGTGTTTTTATATTTATATGTATGTGCACACACTCAGTTAGGCTTCATGTTCCACCCTGTGGAGTAGATATTCCCCATTTTAGAGGGAACTGAAGATAAAGTTCAGAGCGGTCAAGTCAGATACATGTTCAAGATCCTACAGCAAAAAAGAAAAGTTAGGTCTGCCTGCCTAGAAAAGGCCCTTTATGACTTTGCACTCTTGCTCCCCTTAGAAAATGTAGCAAAGTTCTGTTTCCGGCTTGAGTGCTTTCATTCATTTTTGACTTATATTTATCTTGTATATCTGAATTGAAATTGGGGGCTGAGGTTTTGTGTTTTCAAAAATTCTAGGTGGTGGTCTTATTTTTCTTTCTTTTTTTTTTTTTTGAGTTGGAGTCTCACTCTGTCGCCCAGACTGGAGTGCAGTGGTCGGGAGCCTGCTGGGCTCCGGCGATCCTTCCGCCTCAGCCTTCCGAGTAGCCGGAATTACAGGCATATGCTACCACGCCCAGCTGATATTTTGATTTATTGTAGAGATGAGGTCTCGCTGCCCAGGCGGGTCTCGAACCCGCGGGCTCAGGCCGTCCACTCACCTCAACCTCCCAAAGGCACGGGATTACAGGCTGAGCCACCGAGCCCGGCTTGGTGGTCTTATTTTTCAACGTTCAGGCTGTTTTCACCGCTAAGATTTTGCAGAAAGATTCTTTTATTCCCTTATGTTAAAGTCTGCAAAATGAGGTTTGTGGTCTCCCTTAATGCAATGTATCAGTTATTGGCAGTTTGTTCTTAAAAACAAACCCCAGCACTTTGGAAGGCTGAGATGAGAGGATTGGCTGAGCCCTGGGGTTTGAGACCAGCCTGGGCAACTTGGTGAGACCTCATCTCTGCAATAAATCAAGAAAACTCAAGCCAAGCATGGTGGTACACACCTGTAGTTCAAGCTATTTGGAATGTTGAGGCAGACGAATTGCCTCAGCCTAGCAGGGTTTGGCTAAGGTGGCATGAGCGTGACACTGCAATCTAGCTTGGGCAACAGACTGGGACTTCGACTGAAAATAATAAATAATTAAATAATTAGATAAAATAAAATAAAATAAAAACAATCATGATAGGCCAGGTGTTGTGGCTCACATCTATAATCCCAGCACTTTGGGAGTCGGAGGTGAGATGTTTGCTTGAGCCCAAAGGTTTGAGACCAGCCTGGACAACTTGGGGTGATCTCATCTTTTCAGTAAATAAAGAAATTATTCATACAGGGTGGAATGCTCCTGTAGTTCCAACTCCTTGCAAGACTGAGGTGGAAGGATCACTTGAACCCAGCAGGTTGAGGTTGTGGTGACCCTGAGCATGCTGCTGCACTACAGCCTGGGCAATAGAGTGACTCTGTCTCCAAAAAAAAAAAAAAGTCACAGTCTTTCCTGCAGTAGTTGAAGCTTCTTACTTAGCAACTGCTAAGATGAAAGTTGTAGTGCCTGAAAGGCTTGGCATGTTTGCACTTAGATGCTGCAAGGGAGACTGGCCTGGTGCGAAGAAAACCTACACTCATGGCAGGAAACCTACACTCTACCCAGGGAGCTGCAGGCCCTTTGTGGTTAGGAGCAAAACTCTCCCTTCCTGCTGCCAGGCCTAGCCTGCATAATGGCTTCAGAGTCACCCTCCTTTACAGGCAGCATAGCCCAGGCACATGGCACATGCCTCCTCTGAGGTTTGTCCACGTGACACTGGTAGAGTGCAAAGGCCTCCCCCCGAAGTATCTCCTTTTCTCCTTATACTTCAAGGAATTTGTGAGGGAAAAGTGAAAAGACACCAGTAACCCTGTTTTTTCCGGGGGCAACATTAGACTAGGAACTTAGGGAGGTGTAATCCTAGCACTTAGGGAGGTGGAGGCGAGAGGTTTGCCTGAGCCCAGGGTTTTGAGACCCGCCTGGGCAACTTGGTGATACCTTATTGCTGGAGTCCAGCTCCAGGAGAGAGTCAGGGCTTGAGATGGGGGAATCGGGAAGCGGCAAAAAAGAAAAGATGAAAATGACAGGATCCTTCTTCCTGGGGAGAGTTCAAGACTCTGCCAATTTTTATTCAGTTCTTACAAGCTTGTATAGTTTTTTTACTGACCCCTCTACCCACAAAATGTATCCCATGTTACACATTAAATGTTTACATCATGTTTTTTCTTTTGTTTATGGGGAAGTTGACCTTTCAAGTTTCATTTTGTTCCTTCCTGCTACCAGTGGTGTAACAAAATACCAGGAGCCAATTTATCAGCCACATCCTGTGACCTCTAGGCCAACTGAATCTCTTCCCCTGCTATTCTATTTCTTTTCCTTTACTAATCTATTTTTTAATTCTACCCTTATGTATACTTTTAGCAGCAATATATTGACTTGTTTTTTCTTTTATATAACCACCCTTATCTTACCCACTATGAATTCTTAATACTCTATTTTAAAAAAATTTAACTTTCTTAATTCTAATTGCCTTATCTATATTACTTGCTATTTTCTTGTCACCTATTTTACATTTTATATTTCTAAACAGAACTTAAGTCTAAATCTACACTTATATATGAAATTAATCTTCTAATCCTAAATGTATTTAATTTTAAACCTACATTGTGTATAATTTTA